TCGTGCGTGTCGACTTTCTTGTGATATATGATGTATCGGGTATGAATTCCATCTTCAAAATAAAGAATTTTCTAGGAAAGGAAATTCCTAAGACACGTAAAATGTTTATTTTATTGCGCAACGCGTATTTCAAAGACAGTAAGATACAGATCCAGCCAGGGGCGTAGCTAGAGGGTGGCAAGAGGGGGCATCTGTCCCCGGGCGCAGAATCCAAGGGGCGCCAAACTGATGTTACGACATTTTAGAATTAAATGTTTTCCATCCTTGGCAAGCAGTAGGGGGCGCGAAATCTTCAGTTGTCCCGGGGTGCTGAAAACCCTAGCTACGACACTGGATCCAGCAAGCCAGAACATTCTACGATGATATCCAAGGTCAGCCTCATTGGTAAAGTGGTTAACAATGCTGGGGCTGCCGCACCGTTTGGCCAGGGCTCAAATCGCGAAGAAGTTTGTAGGCATCTTCTTCTTCTTCAGGTCAGGTATCAGGCACCTCTGCTAAATAGCATTTTGTGCCAATTTGCGCGCCAAAAATGTTTGCTCTTGCAAGGCGATTATTTCACCAAGGCCATCTTGATGTGAGATGATCTTGATTATATTCAATCTCCCATCAAGATGGTCTTGATTTCCCCGAGTGTCTGTTCCAGCCATTTAGTGCTTACCAGATCTGCACAGTTGATAATACAATGAGGCTCGTAAGAGCCTCATTCTCAAGTATACAGGATAGGAAGATAGGTGCAATGCCCACATTCCTATTCTATTCGCTATATCAAAAGCTCAAGGTCGATAGCGTGTTCCTCCGATAAACGTTTTTCAGGATGTCCCTCAATGAGTACAGCCATTTTGATGACCGTAGGAGCCCCCCCCGAAGGTATAACCCCTCAGGTCTATATCTTTTGGCAGTCCTGGGGCTATATTCTGCTCCAACTTTTGAGATTGCCTTTTTTCCCCACTTTCCCTTGGGTGTTTCACTCCAAGTACCTTTGGCAATGTTCAATCCTCGAGAACGTTTCTTTCTTTTCTTTTTTTGTTTGTGTGCGTGCGATTCAGTATTGCCTGTTGCTGGGTAAGGCAAAATACTCTAGAAGTTGCTAGGCATTTTAAAGTCTCCGTTAAGACAATTTAATCGCAGTGTCATTCACCCTAAGCACGGGTCGCATAACACCAGGGTTACGAGAGGGAGTTCGCAGGTTCTTACTTATTATTCGGAGCTATCCTGTAAGATAATACAGGATATCCGGCAATCCGTTAACTGCCGATGCGCCTGGTAGCCATTCAAGCCCGAGGTTGTAAGCATATAGTATCCGCCAGTATTTTAATGCTGCGGCACGCAGATCTGGTAAGCTCTAAATAGCTAAACAGACCATTGTGGCAAGCAGCATTAAAATAGTCTGGAGTGTTGAAAGTCCTTTCCAGTAGTTTAGTGATAGGGAAGACGGAAAGAAGACTCTAATGATCCAATAGTCAAATGATTATGTGACCAAGAGATATTGGCCTTAACAAACCAATTCAGGAAATTCCTCATAAGCATATCACGTGAATAACAATCAGATGAAGTCCGTTAGCGATAAAAAGGAGGCAAATAGGAGAACATCGCTGTTTTATACCCCAGGCAACTATCAAGTAGTTAAGAGAAATCAGAGAGTACGCTTCCTAAAAAAAAAAAACAGAGATTAAATCAAACTAATTAGAGAAATTTTTATCTCAATGCGCTACATACGGCCAGATGTTAAAATTTTCTGGGATAATCTCAAAATTTGAAGAGGCGGAGAAAGTATATGCATTTAATAAAGAGAATATCTCACTGCACTTCCGTGGGTAGTCGACTACATAATTAACTTTAAAACCATTGTGCAAGAGTTTATTTCTAATGTAATAATGAGCTTCAATAATTATTCTAAGGATCTTGTTTTGAAGGAAGACTGAAATTCATCCATCGTGGTGCTCTCCAAGGAACTCCAGAGCTGCATTATAACTGCTTTTGTGACTATTAGTGGAACAGTGTTATAACGCACGTGGGCCGGATTTGCAGTACACCTTGGAGGTGTGTCGCGTCACAAAAAGGAGCGGACTTCCAACATTTATCATATCGTGTTCAAAATTTGAAAAATGTTTCATTTCATTTCATCTGGTATTCATTTTTATATAAATTTCGAATACTTAATGAAATATTACGTTTTGTTGCATCGTTTATAATAACCCTGAAGAACTAACTAGTCAGAAGCCTATCAAAGTCATTGCAAGAAAAGCCGTTGAGTATTCATTTTTTCTTTCTAGAGAGCGGGTAATAACCAAAAATAGCAGCAATATTCTCACCTTTTTCTAGTCTCCAAATAAAATGTAAGATACTGTAATACTTCATTCCTCAGAGCTGAAACATGAAGTAGTAGTTTTCAAGTTACAATCAAGTGTCTCACAAAGTTTAGAATGAAGACTATTCTCCGTATGTTAGTTGAATCTGATAAGCATTTTATTTTGCTGTTATCACCACTTGGCAGATCTATTAGTAGTGACTGACAAAGAAATTCTGTCCTGCAAATAAATATTTTAACGAAGTATGTACAAGTTTATTAGGAAAGACCGCAGATTTCTCGATCTGAACGGCAAGTGACAATGTCACAGAAATAAGGACTGAACACGAATATAACGCTCTTCACAAAAATACAGAACTTTATAACACATACAGATAAATGAGAAACAGTCAAGTGAAGTAACGCTCATGTCACAAATAATAGAGTATATCGTTCAACCTCTCAGTCTCTTCTGCATTATGTTAAAATTTGCTATGCATCAATAGAATATCACAGCGCAGTAGACGCCTGATGATTGGTTTGGTTTGTTTGACAACGGCAAAGTACTCGAGAGCTACCTGCCTAAGGGAAGGGATGTCTTCGTAAAGGACTTTCTAAGCTTGAATAGACGCTTCAAATGAGAAAAACAACCATGCAGCCAGCCCTTTTCTCGGGATTCGATCACCGGACCGAACTACCAGTGTTCAGCTACTTACCGCTCGGCCGCTGGTAGACGCCTGAAGGTGAATAGTATTGGGAACCACATTCACTGTTAACCACAAATTATGGTTAATCCAACAGTAGTTAATAAAAGCTACAGGAATGAGATATAACCCATATTGTAATTAACACAAAAAAATATTAATAACGAATTACTTGTTATTTTAAGCAGTTTAATTTAAATAGCAAGATTTTTCTAGTAACTTAATACGTTTAATTACGATCTTTAGTTACGTAAATTAAATCAGCATTCAAAAGGAAAACACATTTCGAAACTAACAGAACAATATTTTTGTTTATGTTACTCTCGTGTTTCGATATGAGTTAATGAAAGGCCTTAAAGATTAATGGACTATACACTCATTTTTATCATTTAACAAATTATTTTATACGGATGATTTAATAATTTATATTGATAACATTCCAGATTATGTGCAATTAAATTGCGTATTGCTGTGGACAAAAAAACTGTTCTCTAAATATTAAAACATCATCTGCTATCACCTGCTGTTATCACGTATATTTTCTTTTCCTTGTGTACTTCTCCCAGGTTACGTTAGGTTATTTGGATATAACAAAGCGCACGAAGACTGTCTGCCTTAAGAGAGGGATGCCTTCTAAGGAAAATTGACTCGTATTCATGGTATAGTATAATAGACAAAGCACGAAAAACTATCATACAACCAGACTGTTCGCCCACGTTGAACTTTCGGTAATCACCAGTTCAGGGTCAGCGCTGGACATTTTGCTCCCTGGTCCAATACTAGCGGTTTCTAAATTCTGCAGCTCAGTGCCTTTTTAAGTTCTAGACATTTTTTTGCTCTTAGTTACAGCCGCGTCTTAACTACTCGGCCTTTTTTTGTAGAAATCTTGCTTCTTTTTATGGTTTGTGATAGTAATTTTTTCGTTCGTTCATAATACTTTTTTAATAAAGCGCGGTTAACCAGTATCTGACTGTAATTTCCCTTCACAAGGGCTAGATCTTCATGTACCCTAATTCATGCTCATTTTCTATCCACTCACTTTTTGCTCAATCCTCATCGATGCCCTTATGGCTGTCTTATGAGGTTTTAAGTCAAGTTCTAAGTTAACATGAAGCTGTGGTATCTCACACAAACACTGTTTCATCACCAAGAACATTTCCCAAAGTGCATTACATACCGATATTTCGCTTGGAAAAAAAAGGGAAGGTTTTACATAATCGCTTCAATCGGACATGAGAAAGCTCTTACACGGGAACTGAACCAGTACAGCAGCCTGGGGTATGTTAATGGTTTCTTCATATGTAACGTGAATACAAAGCCATTTGACCTTCTAGAAAATTATTTTTGAAAGCATTCCTACCCTTAGGTAGAAAGCTATTTCGCACTTTACCATACTCAAAACAATCCAAGTCAACAGTTGAGTTACGGTTCCTAAAGTTCTAAGTTCTGTATTGTGCCGTAATAGGCAAGCCCCACTTAAGATTATCTGAAGCCCTAGGCACAGTGCTCATTCAGGGTCTTCTACTGTTCATTTATATGTAACATAAATACGAGCTAGTTTCCTTTAAAAAGCCCTCCATAAAGACATCCCTCTCCTTGGGTTGATAGCTCTGGTGTGCTTTGTCAAATAACCTAACCTACCTACTGTACAAATCTATTTTGTCTACTATACAAATAACCTATCTACAATTCCTTTTTATTGTTTTCGAGAGTGAAAACAAGATTGTAAGAAAGTATGGAATAATTTTAAGACCCCTTTAATATCTTGAGCATTAGCCCCATGCCTTGTGAGCCTAACCAATAATTAAAACTTTAATTAGGGGTACTATAAACAAGTTCAGTCAGCCTGCTCATGATTATTTTGTATATGGCCATTAAGACAAGCTGTTTGAAAGTTGTTTGGGATTTACTGAGTGTTAGGAATTTTCTAACGTGATTCTCCTAAGAAGCTATGTAATATATTTCCTATAGATGTAACTAACGACTAAATATTTTTATCTTAACTTTAGGAAAAAGGAAAGAACACACACCATCAGATGAAAATTATTCATTGGAAGAGGTCATCATGCAATGCTGTACTAATCAAGATGCATTTCCTGTACAAGAGAAAATGAGCAATTTCAAAGAAAGAATTTTTACTACTCAAGCAACAGAGAAAGGTAAAAATGTTCATAGCGAAAGTCGGGATATACATGACTATGGCGGAAAATTTTCTAGAAACAATATAGCGGAAGCTTCTATAGCGGAAGCAAAAAAAAATTTGATGACACTGAAAGCGGACAGAATGCAGAAAAATAACAGTGAGCAGATCTCTTTTACAAAGCTCACAGATGAAAAAGCCAGAATGAATGACACTGAGAGCAAATCAAGTGGAATGATGAGATATAAACCACACTTTATAAGATAAAATAAAGCAAAGTAATTGATTAAAAAATTTCATTTTCATAAAATGTAACAAATACACTCTATACACTCTTAATTATGTAGAGTATAACTTCTTATCATCTTATAAAAAGTTATTATAGCGATGTGGTTTCAACTAACTCCTTTCCGGAGATTCGCTGTGACAGCATTTCAAAACATGATCTTTTACCGAACTCAGTCTATTCAAGTATTTAAAAATTATTTTTCCAGTACTAATGTGCTGCAAAAATGCAAACGTTCTAGATTATTTAAAATATTCTTTCTAACTTTTAGTTCAAAACAAATTTAAAAAATCTATGAAAAGTCTGGTTCTTTCAAAGTACCAGATCTTACATTCAAGGATTCTTTCATTAAGAGAAGCGGGGAGGCTTTTCCCCATACTTTTGTGAGTTCTTTGAGTTTAAATCATTCATAGTAATATTTCTATTTTATTATTGGAATATTTAGTGGTAAATAGCTTACTCTGATAATAGTATATGCAAGAAAGCAACCATGAAATAATTCATAGATACTGAGGAGTAGATACAGAAAATTTTAATAGGTTTAACAATTTGTCTTTGGTAGTTAGGATGTCTGTATTCAGAGCTATCAATTAATAATGGTTATTTGTGATATTTAGTAAGCTTTGCAAAATTTTATTCTCATAGTTAATTTTGCTGATATAGTTAATATATGCATTGGCTCTTCCAGATGAGTTAATATTTACATGATCATTTTAATTTTTTCCAGTTTTATATTTTTATCTGAGAACTAACTTACAACCGTTTTGAAATATGAATTCTATTTGATACTTACATATTATCCCACTGATCATGAAAGTATCGCCACGCAATACTGTTTAGTGTATATTATGCCATCACAGCACACTCATAACATCTGTGCTTTCATATTATGTAATACAGATTGATTCTGGATAAGACAATTTTTTTTCTTTTTATGAAAAAAGAAATAAATAAACTGTAAACAATACGGGACTCTTTTGAGACCCCATAATTGGAACGAGTACACTCTAAATCCTTTAACGAAGATCAATTGGAGGGCAAGTCTGGTGCCAGCAGCCTTAGTAATTCTACCTCCAATAGCATATATTAAAATTGTTGAGGTTAAAAAGCTTAATTAATCTCAGTTCCAGACAGGTGGTCTGCCTATAGGTGGTTACTGCCTCTTCTGAACAGCCAGTTGATTTCCTTTGATGATCTTCACCGGTTGTCTTGAGTGACAGGAAAGTTTACTTTGAAAAAATTAGATAAAAAAAATATATTAAAATTTAAAATCTGCCTTCTACAGAATAGTAAGTAGTGAATTATTTTGAATAGTTATAGAATCCTATCAAAAAGAAGTGTGTATTAGAGCAAAAAAATAATGTACTTTATTTGAATATGGATAAACAATGGTAATGCAATATGAAAAATTATGACAACAGAACATCCACTCAAAAAGAAGCGTGGTTCAGAACAGGAGAATAACATTTGTGACTGCACTCCAGTTTATTTACAGCTTGTCAAGAGAATTTATATCTCTTGAATGTGTCTCTAAATATGTATGTCATGTCTCTAAATATGTGAACATGTCTCTAAAATGAGTCTCTAAATACGAGCACTGACTCTAGTAATGAGCAATGAACCAGGCTGTTGGTATGTGTGGCCCCATTTCCCGATCTGGCTCGACTCGGGGAATCCCCTCATCAGTTCACTCAGTGTTCTTTGAGCTGCGTGTTTGTGCGCTTGTTAATTGTTTATTACATTTAATGTCGAAATAATTATTTCATGATGCCGGCTAAGAAGATTGGTGCCTCAGATAATGCTGCAAAGAAAAATAAGGAAGCCATAGCCATTCAAAATTAAGAATGAAATCAAAGATAAACAAAAGCATGGTGTAAGAGTGATGGAATTGGCAAAGACTTACACCTTTTTGACATCGACAATCTGCACTATTCTGAAGAAGGAAGAAATTAAGAAACGATGTAGGCAAAGGAGTTACTGTTACTTCCAAGCACCGTCCAAAACTCGTAGAAGCTGTTGCTGGTGCCTGAATGTCTGCTATACGAAACTTTTCTCCTCTCTACCATTGTTGCCTAGCAATGACTCATGTAATGCGCATGTGTCAACATCATTTGTTTTTTGTAATTCTTTTTATTAGCTTGTTCGATGAGAAATTTGTTGCTTGGATTTGTGAATGGCTGCTAATTGAGCGGTTAGTTTTCAAATAAAATAAAAGATAAATTTAAAAGAAAATTAGTTTTGTTATTTCATAGCTACAGTCCAAAACAGCTGTTGTTGGTGTGGATTAACGAGAAGCAGTTAAAGTTGGTGTGGGAAGCTATCATAAAGGTAAACTACAGTTATATTACTTTCCAGTGTTATTTATTAGAAAAATTGATTTTTATGTTGATATTTGGGGGGGGTGGAACAGATTAATTGGATTTCCATTATTTTCAATGGGGAAGTTTGTTTCTAGATACAAGAAATTCACTATATGAGCTCAATGTTGGAACAAATTTAAACTCTTATCTCGAGGTTACACTGTAACTTGAATTCCTTAAAAATATTGAGCTCAATGAACAATTTTAATGAATTGAGAAAGTGAGTAATCTGAAAAACAAGATGCCTGTGGAAACAAAGATCTATTTCTGATAAAAGAAACCGACGCTTCTTACTCAGTTTTATACTGATTTATTTCATTTTCATTTCTTCAAGTTCAAGTTTCTTCAAGTTCTTTCATGGCATATTCATTGAAGAATATTTATGTTTTTTACATTAATAAAAAACAATTATTATAAAATAAATTTATTAAAAAATTTAATACAGATTTTCATACTAACATAAAAATATATTTAAAAATTCTTATTTAACTATTTACAAATAATTTATGTAATTGTTGTTTAAAACTATTTTTTACATTGGGAAATAGCTTAAAACAAAAATAAATTTGCCATACAAGATATAAAATAAAATTATTAATTAAAAGTTAAATTTATGTATCCATAACACAAATCATAACATTATCACTTTTAATGAATTAACGGAAAATATTTTTCAAATTTCTTCAGATGATTAAAAATTCCATACTCTGTGTTTTCAAGATAAAATCCCTCCTACTTCATTTATGGATTTTATTGATGTAATTTCAGACAGACATGGTAATATAAACTAATAATGTTAATACCAATACATTTATTGATCAGAAAAATACTAAAATAATCAAGCTCATGAATAATGAATAAAAAAGTTAAAACACAGAATGAAATAAAATGATGAAGCACAAATGCATAAATGAGCACCAAAATGTAGGCATATCTTGTGAAATTTAGAAAATTAAATCCAATATAAAAATGTCCCCTCGCCTCATTGACACGTTTACTACTGCTTGCATTTTACGTGTTTTGCTCATGGCGCCAACAAGAAGATTTTGTTATGCAATGTATATTATGTTGAAATATTACCTACAGAGGATAAGGTGAGTTATATAATCGTGTTTAATGCATTTTTCGTGGGGGAGGGTCACCGCTGACCTCTGAGGTGCTGTAGACCTTTTTGCGGTTTATTATTTGAATTTTTGTGATTTAATATTCTTCAAACCATTATAGAAACAATGGTATTATTTAAAAATGTATCTATCACTATCGATATTTACTCTAATTATGCATTTGTACTATTGGTTGCCTCGGCGGTCACTGGTGGTCCCCACGGCGCTGCAGCCAAGTCACCTGCTGGCCACCAGTGACCCCCACAGCAGTCAACGTTTTAAGCAGATAAGCATTACAAAAATAAGTATATATGTACCTGTGTATACATTGAGCATTACCTCGAATGATGAAAGCCGGCGTAGTGCACACAGTCATAACTCACTGACCTCAGCACTATTCCAAACAAATGTCATACATCAAATAATTTCTGCATTCCAGACAGGACAAGTACTAAGTTGGATGCATTTCAAAGCGGATGTATACTAAGATATTACTGTATTTTCATATTCCTTTTTTATGAAACTCTTCCAATAATTTTACAGCTTCATTTGGGAAATACTGTTCATAAAATTCAAATCAAAACAGATGACAAAGTAATTTCATTTAATGAAATTTTCATTTTCATCAAAATTAAAGGAAATCTTATTCATTGTAAACTTATTATAAACCAAATATAAATCCAAATATAAAATTACAAAGTGACACAATTAAAAAAAATTTATATATTTAGCATGGCAGTCTCAATGGGAAAAATTATTTAACATTGAAGTCTTACTGGGAGAAAAAAAAAAAAAAGTTTAACATGGCAATGTTAGTAAATAACCACAGATAACAAACAAATACTAAACGCAGTAATTCTGAAACATGAAAAATTTTGGAGCACTATTTTGATTGTCGTCACTTTTATAGAATCATGTGGCATTTAAGTAACTTTCAATTTTATATCTGTAATTTTAGAAACTTTAATATGAATAAAGTACTAGTATTTTTCATCAGATATCAGATTCAGTAGCAAATCATATATGAAAAAAGTGATATATATCATGGTTTGGCAAGTTTGTTATAATACAGTACAAAGTCTTTAATCCGGACCTCAAAGCTACAAACTTTCTGCACATGTGTAGCATTTAAGCATAATACATTTACGCATATTGTGCATAACACATTTATGCATGCGCATAATATGTTTACGCATGCGTGTTTAACGTATAATGGATGCTATAAGCTAGGCTAAAATTATCTAATTATCTATTTAAGTTAATGTTGCAGATTGTGTTGTTCCTTAATCTTCTAATTGGATCCGGCTTATTATTTTTTGCAGACTGTTAGAGCAATTTTATAAAAAGTAAGCTTGAACTTTCGATTATGTCAAAAAGAGTTTCCGATTCTGGAGCTGCCAAAGGATCTACAAAGTGAAAGCATGTTTTGATGTCCATCAAACAAAAAGTGGATGAAGGTATGAAGAAAGTGACAGAGAGGTTAGTAAAAACCAAAAAATTTTGATTGACAAGTTAGTTGGTATTCTCAGCACAGCAATTACAGGACTTGAACAGTGGACCTTTGTAACTGAACAAGAAATTATGTCTGTTTATAGAGTTAAAGAAAAAGTATTAGCATATAAAATGAAGCAACTTAAACAACTTACATTGAAAGAAATGTTTAATAAAGTAAACAAATAAATATTATGCTTTTTTTTTTTTTTTTTTTTTGGGGGGGGGAAAATTTTGATACCTTTTAGATCATAATTGTTCTTTATTTATTCATAAATTACGGTTTCATATTTTTAATTTTATAATTTCTGCATGCCATCTTACCAGATTTAAATTGATGATCTATAATCCGGAAAAACCCCTAATCCAGAATCGCTGAAGTCCCGACGAGTCCAGATTAAAGACTTTGTACTGTGTATATATATATATATATATATATATATATATATATATAAATCTCCAAGAAACATTTCAAAACTGAAGAAATAACTGTTATAAAAAGCTTCAAAAAACATTTTAGACTAGAGGAAGCAACTGTTGAAAAAGATCACCTGTTAAAAAGCACAAATGGTACAATCACTTGTAAAAAAGTATAAATGTGCAACTTGCAAAATTTAAATTATTTTAACCCTTAAGCACACAGTGCAACTGTGAAACTTTAGTATTACATGAGAGGGTAAACATTTACCCCAAGTTAAATATCATAAAAATCATATAATAATATAATTACAGGCATAAAAGAAGTTTTACAGATATCAGAAATCTATTTTATTATTTAGATTGAAACTGACTAGTAATTTTCAACAAACTATACATTTATATCAAAATTTATGGCATTTTGATTTTTAGATAGATACATCTACTACACTTTTATTGCCCAGTAATATATATACGAGGGCATTTCGAAAAGTAAAGATACACCGTATGCCAGAGGAAAAGAAAAGTTTTGGTGAGCAAGTTGGCAACACAGGTGTTAACCTTGAACCATTAGCTTTCTCCTTGCGGCTGTTCGGCATTTCAACGTTAATTCTGGTTGGAGTAGGTAGTGTTTAAAATGACTGCGCTGATTCAGAATCCCGCCAAATGAAGTGCACTCCGTCACACGTTTTCTTCATGGAAAAGGTCAACGACCAGCGGATATTCACAAGGAAATTGTTTCTGTTTATGGGAAAATTATGAATCGACAAAATGTAACGAAATGGTGTCGTCATTTCTTTGAAGGTAGGACTGATGTTCATGATGAACAAAGAACAGGTCAGCCATCTGTGATCTCTGATGCCCTTCTTCAGAGAACAGAGGATGCAATTTGTGCGAATAGACATCTCAAATTGAAAGATCAGATCATACCAGAAGTGTCAATGACAACTCTTTATGAAGTTGTGACTGTCAAGTTAGGGTACAGAAAATTGTGTGCACACTGGATTCCAACAGGCAGCAACCTTCTATGACTGTGGGATACAAAAGCTTGTGCACCAACTTAACAAATGTTTGGATAACGGGGATGACTATGTCAAAAAATAATAAATAATCCAGTTAATAAGATGTAACTGACGCTTTCTAAATAAATGTTTTCTTAAGGAATGCGAGCCATTGTATCTTTACTTTTCGAAATGCCCTCGTATTTAAGCATAAATATTTATCTTAATGTGTATTAAATATTTTGAAAAATATTAATATTTTACTTCATACTGAAAAATATTGAGCACAAGGTAAAATTCCTTCTATATTAATAAATCACTTCCATGAAAGGCAGATTAAAAAAATAATCTTGAAATACTTTTCAATTACATCCTCCAATAAATGACTTCGAAAAGCATATTGTTAGCTAGAGACATTGGATAATGTATTTACCTATTTATTTGGAATTCTCTTTGAATGGGGTAGTTTTCTTCCTCAATGTTTGTGGTTAAGCTTAATGGGAACAATGAAATTTCAAAATTACGGTATGACATTTATGAAAATTCAGAATATTCTCATATAGTACTTTAGCAATAATCATTCTCATACTAAAAACAAATATTCTAAACTTGGATTAAAAAAAATCTAATTTTTTCAGCAATTACATTATTCTTCTGGCATACAGGTAAAGTTACAATAAAGTATTTGGTTATACAAGTAAGGTTTCAATTGAATTTTGGCTTATTATTTCAATTTTACTGATTTATAAAAACAATAGAATTTTAGAGTTAATTATCAATCTGCAAATGATGAGCTCAATACATTTATTTAAACAAAATAATAATTAGAAAAAGAATACAAATTTGACCATCTCTTTCTCTCCAAAATTTACTTGCATTACATATTCTGTTGTTTAATTACCCTAGAAACATAATTTACTGTGTTAATTTTCTGAGTATTTAAGGATTTTTAATGTGACAGTACATATGTATGACACAGGCAAAGCATTTTTTATGGATAAAGAATAAGTTCAAGTACATCTGAGCCTGGGAAATCTAATCAGGTGTTTTCTAGATGCTTAGATTATCCTACAACTCATTCATGAAAAAAATTAATAGTTTTTATTTATTTCTGAATATAATATGAATTCTAAGAGAGTTAAAAAAACTATACATGAACCCAGTTTTCCTAATTAATGCGCAGAAAAGTGTTTCTTATAAAAAAATTTAGAATGATTGATACATAAGTAGATCAAATAAAAATATGATCTCATTCAATCCGTTTTAAAATAACTGAAATATGGCAATGTTTGAAACTGTCTTCACTTCCTGGCTCAATGAAATCAAGATTGAGACTGAAAAATAAAATGAAATCAATGGAGAAAACCTAGTACAATAAGTGAATGTGGATTAGTGTACATTGGACAGACATGAAGTATAAAAGAAACTATATTAGTGACAAATATACAGTAAGAAATGTGCTGTAAGATCAGCATAAATTCAACAATTTTAGTCACTATTCTTTCAGTTAAATGGTGCTAATCTCTGGCTCCTGCCAAAGTTAAAAACTCACCCACCATTTAATACCATTATGTATTACCGTATCATCTTCATATGACTTCATGAAATATTTATAAGGTTTTTTTCCATTAGCCATTCAAGCCCAATTTAAATACTATTTCCTTTATATCTAAAATTCGTTTAAGAAGCTTGAAAGATTGTAAAGTTAGAAATATCACAGATAAAATCAAAAATTCTAAAAAAAATCACAGTTTACTTCGACCACTGTTTACTTTAAAGGCATTACTATTTAAAATTTGTGATTTTTTTATCAGTATAAATGAAATGAGTGCATCAGACACATAATTTTTTTAGGTCTACCAACGGGTGAAACTTAAAATACTTAAACTCAATTTGGATTGGGGCTAAATCACAGAAAGCAAAGAAAATTTCAGTAATATCATACTGCTTAAAATCAGGAATGACAAAGTTCTGACAATGCCAGATCTCAGACTTTGTATTATGTATAGAGATTTAAAACAAGCTTTAAGAAACTGAAGTTTGGTTTGCTATATTCAATAAGAAAAAATGGGCAGTCTCAAAAAACGTGTAAAAATTGAAAAATGAATAAAAAAGACTTTAACACTGTCACCTCTGCCAAATAAAGCACATAATAAATCAAAATTTTAAAAATCTTATTAAGATTTAGTTACAATCATTATTATAGACAGTTATCAAATTTGTCGGTTCTGCTTTTCCAGTTTCACTGCATAATAATAAGTTTAAGTGATAAAATGATAAGCATAAATATCATGGTTTTGATCATTCCCTTGAATTACATATTTATAACTATGAATAATTATTTTATTAAAAACGAATAACAAAAAATACTGAAAAATTTTAATTTAATTTTTACTTAACTCCTAAGTACAAAAATAATCCATAACTTTCTGCTGGGATATTACAGAATGCAGAAAAATTTTACCAAGATTTTTGTACAAAAATTGAAAAGATTCTATCGCTTTCAGATCAACAGTTCGCATGAATAAAAACTTAATAATTATAGGCATCACAGCTTTGGAAAACATTGCTGTAGGAAATATGTTTCATATGTGCATTTACTCAATATTTTCATCAACAACAGAAAAAGAATTTTTGACACCAGCATTTCTCATCTTAATTTCTGTCACAATATTTGCAGCATCTGGATCTTCGCATGGAACAATATTATCATTGCAAGATTGGAAAATACTTCATGTCACATTCTGAAAATAATGAAACACCATTTTTTTATCTACTTAACAACAGGCATATCCTCAATTTAGTCTTGTTCTTAAACATCCTTTACAAGATCAGCATATCAAAAACAATTTCAAATGGTTGATTCTGTAATAAGTTGTCAGGATGTTTCTAGCAGTAGTATTCCATCACGAAGTAAAACATTATAATCAACATGATCGCCATTCTTAAATGTCATATCAAAATGCTTGAGCTGCTTTCTGTAATGACACATTAAGCTCCCGATCACATCTTTGGCCGATAGGAACTGAATACAGTCTTAGTACTATACACAAAGTTCCAGCTTAGAATTAAAAAAATACATATTATTCTAAAGATAATTTCAGCTATCTATCTTTAAATGTTATAATTTTCTAAGCACCTACAAACACCAAATTCCCAAGGAATGGAAGTTTCTTAATTTGATGCATATCTTAATTAAATAGTATGCTTCCATTTAGATAAATAAAGCTTTTTCTTTTTAAATTTTTCTTTAAAATTTAACTCAAACAGAAAGCTGTTCATGTTAACCATAACAAAATAAAAAGTCATTACATCAAAATAAAATGTTTATATGTCTGAAATTACAACACATAAATAAAAGCAAAAACTTTTATCATTAAGTTTTCTCTATGCTATTCTACTAAAAAATTTTAATTTTTTTAGCTAATGTAAAAAATATTCCAGAAATATTTATTTAAAATTATTCAGAAATAACACAAAATTATTCAGAACCGACATAAAACAATTCAAAAAAATGACACAGAATTCAGAAATAATGTAAAATTATCACATTTCATCACAATAACACTTAACTACATCTAGCATACAATTTTTTTAAATGTCCTTTTCAGATATTGCTATAAATTTTGAAAATTTACTGTCTTTCACAAACATGTATAATTCATGTTCAAGAAATTCTGATAATGATTTCGTGGGATTTTCATCTAAATTAAGAGAAAATATTGAAAATTAAAATATTAATTTATTATGTAATTTAAAATTTTCAAATGTGATTTTAAAATGAAGTTAAAACTCTCACCATCATATAATAGAAAAATACAAGGTTTGTCTTCTAAAAACCTTTTTAAATGCTTTATAAAGCAGTCTCTGTGGTATTTTCGCATTTCTTCACTCATTTGTTCATCACCTTCCTTCTTAAAACATTTCAAAGAATTTGGGAATTCCACAGCGGCATAAATTGGCTAAAAAAAATGCATGACAAATGCATAAACAGAAGTATGAATTTAATGGATAAGATTTCAAAGCAAGCATTAAACACTACATATCTTTCAAAAGGTTCTAGGAAAGAAACCCACACAAATAATGCTCATAGGAAAAAAGAGCCTACACAGAAATATGCCCACATAGACAAAAGCTCACATGGAAAATGCTCACTTTGAAATATGCTCACACGGAAAAAAGCTCACATGGAAATAAGCCCACTGATAAATAAAATACATAAAAAATCCTTATATTAATCAATCAATAATTAATTGATTTGAACATCCTACACATACTTAATTTTTAAAAGAAAAATTATTTGATCATTTGAAAAAAATTATTGGACAAATGCTCACATAAAGCTTTTCAGGGGCAGTATATAAAAGAATGAAAACTATAGTAAAATTTTGAATGTACTATAATATTTTATACTACCGCCTCTGTTCAACATTCTTATTCATGTAACTGCCAATAGTTAATTATTGTTTTTTACTCTACTTTTGCATACTTTTGATGTGTATTTAAAGAAATTGGTGTTCGAATGTAGTTATTTAAGTTTGGAACCAAAAAAGTTCTAGAAGACCAGAGTTTCCAATTGAAGTAGGGAATCATTATGAAGCAGCCTTCAAAAAATCTCCTAAAACCACAAATTGTTACGAAAGCTTTCATAAGGTACTAAATTCATTATTTAACTCTAGCCATCCCAGTATGTGTTTTTTATTTGATGGACTGGAAAATGATTTATCCGGTCAAAGTTTATTATTAGCTATTGTAAATACATGGCATACTGAAGTAAAAAAAAAAAAAAAATATGAAAACTTACATTTGGTAATCGCGAATCATATAAGAAATTATGATGAAATCTATGATAAAATTAGATATTTACATATATTAGCTATTATTCAGCACGTTTATGTATTTATAACTTTCTGAAATATATGTTTATGATTTATACATAATAAAGTATTTTATGTAATTTAAATAAAATAGTTATTTATATTTGCTTATTCTTCTAAATGTTTATATTATAAAATGTGTACCTTATATTTTACTATATTTTATTTTTTAATAATTAAAATTGTAATAATTTTTCACTGCTGTATATTCTGTTTAATTTTTCTTCCTTCTTTTTCTCCTTTTCCTAATTCAAAACAGCTCATTCGTTAATATTATACAGCAACTGAATTTACATATAAGTTATACAGTTTTTGATATATATATATATATATATATACCATAGATGTTTTGGTAATTTAAATAATTTTTCTATGTACAATTCAAGTTGGTGTACGATGTCAAATTGATTAATTATTGATTGATTAATCTAAGGATATTTCTATGTATCTTATTTATCAGTGGGATTATTTCCATGTGAGCATATATCCATGTGAGCTTTTATCCATGCGAGCATATTTCTAAGTGAGCATTTATCCGTGTGTGAGCATATTTCTAAGTAAGCATTTTTTCATGTGAGCTTTTTTCTATATGGGCATATTTCTGTGTGGGCTTTTTTCCTGTGAGCATTATTCTATGGGCATTTTTCTGGTCACCCATTCAAAGTAAGCGTTAAACATAATGCATATCTTTCAATAAATATACTTCAAGTTTATTCATAAATTAAAAAAATAATGCCTGTAAATTTAGAGCCTATGTGTTTATATAAATATTATTTTTAGTTTTGTGATTAAGTTAGTAGATAAATTATTTTACATCTGAGTAACTGGATCATGTCGACCGCAATTTGGAGCTTCTTCATCCCAAATGTTCCATATTGCAGTATAAAGTCCAAAACCTAGACATCCAATATCCAGAATGTGGAGACAAAAAAGGCAAAAAATATATATATATCTTAAAAAGTCTAGGAATGCAGATGATAATATTCAAGAAAAAGCAGATGATTTTTCTCTTGATTAACAGATTCCTACAGGTCACATTCATACACCTTCTGACTAGGAAATTACACCCTAACTAAGACCATTAACACTGTATTTAAGTGATTGTAGGAGAAGCAGTTTTCTACCTGACCTAAACAATAAGTGCCAAGACATATTTGTTTGGAGTGGGATACTGCTCATTCTGTTTTTATTTTTTTAGCATTAGATTAGAATTAGATTCCAAGAAATTTTAGTTAACATAGCATATTGTCATCTTCCTTAACTTTCTAATTTGACCCACCTTATTATTTTTGGCAGGATATTATTGTTACAGCTATCTTATCAAAACTAAGGTGTGAATTTTTATTTATGTCAAAAGAGATCTAAATTCTAGAGCTACAAAGCATGTTTCATTGTCAATCAAATGAAAAGTGGAACTGCTGCATCAAATGGATAAAGGTATATCCATCTCAAAATTATGCAAGGAGTATTGTATTGGAAAGTCAACAAAATATGACATAAAAAAAGCAACTTTTTGTGTATTCTTACACCCCACTTGCAATGAATAACAGAAAAAAAAATCATTCATTATTCTAAAAGTAATAATCATTACAAGGTAATAATTAAATGGATGACACAGCATTGTAGCAATGTAATATGCACTAAAGGAAAACTGTTCGTTAGATATGTAAATTTGAACACTTTTTTTGTCCACAGATAATAATATGTGACATCAATTATACATTATCTGTAGAATAAACTTTGAAAGAAAGAAAAATGAAGCTAGCATAAGAGAACCATTGCACTGATTTTTTTATGATTTTAAAGTGGGAATAGATCAAGTAAAATGCTTTCAACATGTGCAGTTAGCACACAGAAATGAAGCTCCATCTTGTGCCACTGTATATGGATGGTTTACAGAATTTTGTAGAGGGTGAAATTCTCTACTGCATGAAGAACATACAAGAAGGTTTTTGTCAGCTGTAGACCCAGAAAATATGTCTATACAAAATGTGTTAATTGGTGATAAGTGCTTAACTAATCAAATGATACAAAAGGAACTTAGCATTGGATTTCCAGCTATACATAAAATTATTCCTCAAGAACTGCATATGAAACAAATTAGTTTGCTGTTTGGTCCCCTATAATTAACAGAACACCAGAGTGTATCTGAATCAGTAGTGAAATCCTAGAATCATTTTTTCATAGTGAATAATGCATTATTTCTGAAATCATAACTGGTGATGAAGCATACAAACTTTTTTTTAATGTTCCAACATATCAAGAAAGTAAAATATAGGTCTTCGAAGATGGCCCCAAATCAACAACAGTAAAAAGACAATGAGCTATGAAAAGAAGTAATGTATACCATTTACTTCAGAAGTAAAGGTCTGATCAAAGCCATCAAGTCAGAGAGGCAGAACACAGTGACATCTAACTGCTTAAACACTAAGCATCTTCCACAAAATTATTTAAAAAGTGAAAATTATGGGAATTGATGCTTCACCATGTTCCTCCTTCATTAAGATTGGCAGTTCAGTTCCTAGAACAATTATACATTTAAATGACAAAACATCCACCTTGTTCTCCTGATCGCACTATGTGTGATTTAACACAAAATTTACACGCCCGTTATTTTCATTCTAGAGAGGGATTGATAAGGCTATAAAAGCATATTTTTCATTGGTTCCAAGAAATGGATGGCTTGAAACATTTCATCTTCAGGAAATTTGCTACAAAAATACACTGGTGTTCGAAGGGACTACTTTGAAAACTTCTAGGATTAAGGTTTGGTAAATTTAACTGCATCATATCGCTCGAAAATTTCAGTGACCTTCATACTATGCTGACCTGTGTGAAAAAGACCCAACTGGTGTCAATGATTTGAAAGCTGGACTAATGATCATAGCAAGTGGACAGGGCTGCACATATGTAAACTTATAGGATGTAAAAATGTAAACTTTTTATAATCAGGAAAAAAAAAAAAGCGTGACCTTGGGAGTCAAGATTTTTTTCTAACATCTACTGCTCAAGTACAAGAGCATGCACGATGCAAACATTAATAAATGATTGGTTCAGAGCATAATTTTCCTTTAATTATTGGTAAAAAATAACCTTTCTGTCTTATTCTTCCATTCAAACTAACAGATTGAATGAATTGAAAGACTGTTGAGCATGCTGAAATGCAGATACAAAGCAGCATTTTTAAAATCTATGATAAAGTTTCCAAATAGTGGCCATACCATTTAAGAATTTTTGAAATATTTCAATATAAAATCTTCTGTGTGGAGCATTGCAAGGTCATGGGAGGACATGTCTAAGTGTGCCCAGGAAATATGCCAAGACAAGTCCTAAGAGATTTAACAGGAAAGAACTAGGAAATCTTCTGATGAACAGAATTTGGAAGAAATGCATATAAATGCTAAATTATAGAGATATAATAAAAGTTTTCATTTGCAATGACTTGATCTAATAAAGGAAGAGGTCATTTAGAATGAAAAGATTTTACCTGAGAGTTTTTCAACAGGCATGGCAATCATGAAACTTAAAGAATAGAACCTTAACTGAACAAAAGATGTGTGCGTGTGTGTGCATGCATGCGTGCATGTGAATTTTAATTTCTTTAAGGTCACAAATGCTTCATTATTTCATGAACAATTATTTCATATTTTTAATTTTACAGTTTCTATTTATCATCTAACTAGATTTAAATTGATAATATAAAATCCAAAATTTTTTTAAATACATAATTGTTGAAGTCCCAATGATTGCAGAATTTAGACTTTATACTGTAATTCTTAAACATCCTTCACATCTTTAATTTCTTCTTCTTTTTTCTAGGAATACCTTTTGGACCAACTTTGTGAAAATGATTCAAATACCACTTCAAACAACCTTATTAGTAGCATTATTTGAAATTAGAGAAATCAATTCCATTTGTATCATCCTTTACATGCTAACTAGCAGAGCTGAGCGCCGCCTGAGATAACCACTGACCTGACTTTATTGTAAAAGTCTTACAGTGTTAACAGTCATACTGGCAGAAGGGAATATTTCCTCCGTGTAAAAATATAAATATAAATATTATATGGACATACAAGGCTTGT